CCCATTGTGTCAATGGAAATTTCTGTAAATATCCCCCATATGTTCTAATTTTTGTATTTAGTTTGTTATCCACGAATGGTTGACAACTTTCTGACATGATGTAAATTTGAAGAAAAGAAAAGATCATTTCCAAAGATGTGTCATGTGACACATTTTTGGAAATTTCTGTAAATCCCCCCTCCCCATGCACTCTAATTGCACTTGGTTTGCAACTTGGGAATGCACAAATGGGTGACAACCTTTTCGCATTCCATCAATTTCCAAACATGTGTCAAGTGATACAGTGATATGTGTAAATACAGTTAGAGATCAGCAGTAGAGTTCGCAGCTAGCAGTAGACCAACACCCATCAAAGAACCGTACCCAGAAGGAACAAAATCTGCCCTATTTATACCCTATTGGCCCAGCGCGAAAATCAAAAGTACGCGCTAGTAAATAGGCCACGCCCATTTTGTAAAAATCACAGTATACTGAATTCACATAGCTATAGTTTCCCCTCAATTTCTCCAAAATTATACAGCAAAATATCACACAAAAAGGCTTAAATTAATCTTCAAGACATTCCTTACAGTAAATCTGTTGTAAACATGTGAATAAATTACACAGAATCCCCCAAATGCTCACTTTTACAAGTAGTGAATGAATGTAAACAAACCTTAAAGGGAAAATACAACATTTGCAAACATCAAAAAATAAAACTACCAAATCATTTTGAAATACCTTGCTGGACTGTTAGTGAATGACAGTGTAAAGTATCCTGTAAAATCATGGCACCTGGTATACTGTCATTTTCAAGAAAAGTGGTATTCTTGTATCAATTTCCAACGCTGGTCGGCCGACCAGCGTTGGAAACAACTGGTTTTTTTCCAAATACTGGCCCCAATTGACCATCGCACTTGTTTGCAACCGATTACAAACCCTTGAACGGGTACGAGCCAGCTAGACTGGTTCCCTGACCTTACAATTCCCCAATGTATGTAAACTGCTCTGTTTCTTCTTATATGGAGTCAGGGAACCAGACTACAGGAAAATGATTGTTTATCTTGGTTTTTATAGCATTTTTGAACCCAAAACCTCAAAAGGTCAGTGTAACTATATTTGCTATATATTTCCAAACCCCCCAATTCCATTCATTTCTGAAAATTACAGCAAAAGCAAATGATGTATATTCCCTTTAAGTTCATTGAAGAAAATTCAGTGATGTCACAGATATGAATAATCATGAGACAGTCACTGACTTACCCAACCTTGTTCCCATGGGTACGAGATCTTGCTGCGCCATGTTGCTTCCCATCATGCCTTGCGCAATCTCAACCCCTGGAATTGTGTAATTTAAATTTATCAAAATATGGCACATTATACGGTAATTAGGCAGAAGTTTATCCGTTTGACGTGCCGACGCCATCTTTAAAATGTTAAAAATTGTGATTTTAAAGAATCCATCCTTTCAAACATAAGGTTTGGACATTGCGTTATTTAACAAAGATTTGTATTAAATGTATCAATCTTCGAAATGCATGCGCAGTACGCTCTGAAAAGCCAGTTAGCATCATTTATGTGTACATCACGGCCAGGGGTTAGTGAAGGAATGCGCATGCGCCCATGGAGTCGAGGCTGTGACTTACCAGACGAAATCTGACAGAAAAGTCATCAAAACTTGCCAAACTTTCAAAGTTGATTCAAATTAGACAACTTCACATCTAAAGAAGCTACATAATTATTTAGTAAAACGTTCTAATAATATAAATTACTTTTTAGAAGTCTCAGTTTGCTAGAAATAATTTTAGAACTTTCAGCCAATCAGAAACATTTTAAGCGCTGCTCAAATGGCAGCCATGTTGGATTTTACCATCACGCTATTTATAGCACAGCTGACATGTGTGAACAAACACGTGAGTGTACACACAGAATTTCGGCAGGAAAATACTCAAAACTACCTAGAAATAATACCTGAAAAGACAACAGGAATTTTCTAGACAAAAATGCCAGATCTCTAGGAGGATATATGTAAGATTTAGAGTAATAAAACTTACGTAAAAAGTGGGATTTGGGGGCATTTTCGTCACAGTATGATCCAGAAACCTAGTGTGAACTTGTGCCATGTTACGAAGATGTTCTAAATTTTGTTACGTCATCAAGTATCAAGTTACAAGCAATTTCAGGGCAAATTCTGACAAAATAGTTTGCGCTGTATCTTTTGAACTACATAGAGTATCGTGTTCGTTTTTTCGTGAGGTTGTAGACTATGCCGTGAGAAACATTTCTTGTTCCAGACACAAAACCGCTTGACCTTCACTTCCGCTGTTACCGGAAGTGCAATAAAAACCGAATACAAGTCAAAAGTGGAAGCATTTTACTACACACATATTATGAAAGTGAGGAATACCAGACACAAAAAAAGTGTGATGACGTCATCATCCGAAAGGGCGCCCCCTAGCGGCACATCAAATAGAGTTTTCTTTCTTTAATTTTTACCCCTCAGCCGAGAGGCTCGAGGGGTATTGTCATCGCCTAGGGCGTCCGTCCGTCCGGATGTATGTATGTCCGTCCGTCCGTCCGTCCGTCCGGGCAGCTTAGTTTCCGGATGATAACTTGAGTTAGAAATGTTGTTTGGGGTTGTAACTTCGGTAGGGGGTTGCCCTTGGGAGTAGGCAAGTTGGGATTGGTTTTGAGGTCAAAAGGTCAAAGGTCAAGGTCACCGTGGTGAGTTAAATGTAAATGGTTTCCGGATGATAACTTGAGTTAGAAATGAGATTTTGGTGTCTAACTTTGGTAGAGGGTTGCCCTTGGGAGTAGGCAAGTTGGGATTGGTTTTGGGGTCAAAAGGTCAAAGGTCAAGGTCAGCATGGTGAGATAAAGGTAAATGGTTTCCGGATGATAACGAGTTAGAAATGAGATTTTGGTGTCTAACTTTGATAGGGGGTTGCCCTTGGGAGTAGGCAAGTTGGGATTGGTTTTGGGGTCAAAAGGTCAAAGGTCAAGGTCACCGTGGTGAGTTAAATGTAAATGGTTTCAGGATGATAACTTGAGTTAGAAATGAGATTTTGGTGTCTAACTTTGGTAGAGGGTTGCCCTTGGGAGTAGGCAAGTTGGGATTGGTTTTGGGGTCAAAAGGTCAAAGGTCAAGGTCACCATTGTGAGTTAAAGGTAAATGGTTTCCGGATGATAACTTGAGTTAGAAATGCGATTTTGGTGTCTAACTTTGGAAGAGGGTTCCCCTTGGGAGAAGGCAAGTTGGGATTGGTTTTGGGGTCAAAAGGTCAAAGGTCAAGGTCAGCATGGTGAGATAAAGGTAAATGGTTTCCGGATGATAACTTGAGTTAGAAATGAGATTTTGGTGTCTAACTTTGATAGGGGGTTGCCCTTGGGAGTAGGCAAGTTGGGATTGGTTTTGGGGTCAAAAGGTCAAAGGTCAAGGTCACCGTGGTGAGTTAAATGTAAATGGTTTCCGGATGATAACTTGAGTTAGAAATGCGATTTTGGTGTCTAACTTTGGTAGAGGGTTGCCCTTGGGAGTAGGCAAGTTGGGATTGGTTTTGGGGTCAAAAGGTCAAAGGTCAAGGTCACCATTGTGAGTTAAAGGTAAATGGTTTCCGGATGATAACTTGAGTTAGAAATGCGATTTTGGTGTCTAACTTTGGAAGAGGGTTCCCCTTGGGAGAAGGCAAGTTGGGATTGGTTTTGGGGTCAAAAGGTCAAAGTTCAAGGTCAGCATGGTGAGTTAAAGGTAAATGGTTTCCGGATGATAACTTGAGTTAGAAATGAGATTTTGGTGTCTGACTGAGGTAGGGGTTTGCCCTTGGGTACAGGCAAGTTGGGATTGGTTTTGGGGTCAAAAGGTCAAAGGTCAAGGTCACCGTGGTGAGTTCAATGTAAATGGTTCCGAATGATAACTTGAGTTAGAAATGAAATGTTGGTGTCTAACTTCGGTAGGGGGTTTCCATGTTGGGACTGGTTCTGGGGTCAAAGGCCAAAGGTCAAGGTCACCACGTTGAGTTAAAGGTTAATGGTTTCCGGATGATAACTTGACTCTGGCTGAGGGGTTTCAACAGCAACGCTGTTATTTTAGAATTTGAAAAGGATCATATTTTAAATTTAATTCTATCATTTGATCCCTGTCATATCTTCGTAGTCCAAGTAATGATACCCATTACAATGTTCACATTTGGATAACTCTAATGCTGTGATGTCATCAAACCGGAAGTTAGGTGTTATTAATACAAACAATTATATTTCCCATATTTTCATACATTATTTTCACTTCACAATGAAAATGTATCCTCTCCGAACTTTATCAGTATTCACATCAGAAATAACTTTTTTGCGCACATAGAATGTTTACTGAAATTTATCACACTATTAAAGATACATTTTTTAACATAATCGTTGATTGTACTGGAAGTGAATTAATTTCGTGAACCTTTGTTCTACATAGACATATATTCCTAACTTAACTGGGCAGTGTATAACAGTTCAGTTTGTTCTTGGTTTTCAATTGGAGCATCCACAAATGGGTGAAACCGGCTGAATGAGAATCATGTCCCAAATGCTGATTTGGGGAATGTGTCATGAGAGGGCGCAATTCAAAATATGACTCGGCAACTTTGGCATTTGAGATTCAGAATATTGTGGTTATGTTTGTTCAGTTTTCTCGAAATATAGAGCATTCATAGAGCCAAAACTTCATCAGGTTAGTTATTAAGCATCCTTGTTTAGATTTTGAGCACTAGTTTGCTGGTTGAAATGAAATTTAAAAAAATCACAAATTACACGTTTTAATTGCCAAACACGCTTTCAAGAACACGCTTCAAGAAACAGCTGTCATATTGCAACTCGTTGTAACTTATTTTCAACTGTTGCTGTAGCTTCCACTGTAGAAACATGATGTAAAAAACAGAATTCAATGTATTGCCTTCAAGAGAGAACTGCACAAAGATAGAAAATGTTTCATTTCCTTATGATTAACTGTTATTCCTGTTTTGTTATTTTTGCTCAAACAGCTGATTGAAATCAACCAGTCTGAGTTAGTTCTCTTAGTTGGGGAGTTATTTGGGTGGTAACGAAGCAGTGGACCAGGCAATCAATCGAGCACACCATTGAGACATGGATCAACCTCCACTGATTGACGGAGTCCCAGCTAACACATCACGTTGCCACAACGTTGTGCAAAGTTGTGAAAATGTTGTCATTTGGTAACGTGTCACGATGACATTCAAGCAACCTTGACACAACGTTTGACTGTATAATTGTTGGTTGTAAAAATGTTGTATATCGGTAATTTGTACAACGTTGTACGAAAGTCATCATATGACATTGTATTGACGTTGTATGGTGGTCGTTTCACAATCGTTGTAATAAAGTAATAAATATGACGTTGTGGTTACGTTGAATGTAGGTGTTTTCATGACGTTGTTTTTAAGTTGTCAATGTTACGTTGTCAGAACGTTGTAATTTAGAATGTTTACAACGTTGCTGTGAGGTTATAATCATGACGTTGAGTTAACGTTCCATCTACGTTATTTTATAACGTTTTTTTCAGTTGTGAAAATTACATTGACACGACGTTGTAGTTTGGTATTTCAAAACGTTGCTGTGATGTAATAATCATGACGTTGTAAGATTGTATGTGGGTACTTTCACAACGTTGTTGGTATGTTGTCAATCTCACGTTGTCATGACGTTGTAGATAAAAATTTACACCACGTTGCTGTGTTCATGACGTTATGATGACGTTGCATAAAAGTCTCATCATAATGTCGTTGTTAAGTTGTAAATATCATGTTGTCGTGACATTGCATTTTGGTATTTTCACAGCGTTGCTGCTATGTTGTGAACCTCACGTTGCTGTTACGTTTTATAAAGGTGTTTTGACACTGAATTTAAGTTGTAATTATGCTGTGGGTTATGATCCATGCTGTTGTGGTATTGACAAAAACATTGTGATTACGATTTACTGAATGTGAAGTGAACATAATGTTTTAATCAATGATGTTTTATTTGATAATAATTAACATTTGGGTGCCGCCTTGCATTAATAATGTAACTCATGAAATTTCGAACATCATCATGTTTGTTTTGTCGTTGTAGGAATATAATGTTTCCATGTGTTTTTCTAATGGTCCAAGATGGATGAGATCGTGGTCAAAGCGCGACTGTTTCCCGCTCATATTCATTGTTGTATACTCAATGTATATATTTATTGCACACACCAACGTAACTTGAAATATGATTCCTGTTCTCAAAGAAAATATTACCATGGCGCATGCGCGTCAGCAGAAATTCCACGTCCAGACCGCGTGATAGCTTATTTGAATCGCTCTGCTCAGTCGAGTCAGCGATCTAGCAGCAGCAGCTCACTAGTATAACGGTCGCCGACTCGCCGTCCAGTTGATGTGAATTAGCCATGATCACCAAGCAAGTTATTTTCACTACAGCATTTCTTAGAAGGTAGGAATGACATTTTCTGTATCTTGGCTTCATTCTTGTGTCGAACACATTGTCTACAAATCTGAAGAAATTGGATCAAATTAAAGTAAAACAACTTTTCGAACAAAGTCGCTGTAAAAAAATGAAGATTTTCCTATGCCTATCATCTTGTTTTTTTTTTTATAAATGTTGAAAAAGTTCTTCAGACTCGATCAGAATAAATGTAGATTAATTAAGAGTGAAAATATGTGCCTCAATTGAGATTGGAGGCTCGTCAATGCGAACAGTTTTGGAGGATCATACACTGAAAGAAACGTTCAAGTCATCTGGTTTTCAATTTAATAATAAAATCTTGGTAATATTCCAAGGAAATAATATACATGTGGATCAGATTTACTCGAATTCATGTGAGACATGTTAGACCTTTTAAACAACACTTTAGGTTGGAAAGTTATTTGTTCGATAGTTATATTTTTAGATAAAACAGATATTGTTTGAGCAAATGGCAAAATGTTGGAAGTGTATACATTATATCGAGAAGACTTTTGATTTGTGTACTATAGTATAGGCTTATGTTTGTATTTTTTTCAAATTGATGAATTAATCAAACTGTAACAATATTGTATTGAGATACCCATGATACCCGAGCCAACAACCGTGAAATTGTTACCTGGGGTATCTCTTAATTTATAGATCTGAGTTGATTTTCTCTCAACTAAAACTAGCGCAAATTTGAGCATAAACAGTCCGTTATAAAATTCCCGCTCAAAGACACAGTGTACGGTTGTAATACTAATAGCAACGCGCATTAGCATTTCAGTCGCAAGGGTCAGGCCTAAAGTTCACGTACCAGGACTGTACACGTATAAACGGTCATCTGGCTTTCGTTGGCTTGTACATAACAAGTGTATACAGTTTCAATCCGGGCTTTCGGGCTGTATAGCTCCCAGGGTTTGGCGTGATTTAAGGGAGTTTGACCAAAGTGTGTGGAGTAGGGTTCAGGGCCAGGTCAGCACTGTTACAAGATCAATGAAAAATACGCGAACTATAATTTTATAAAAGCCTTTTCTAAAAAGGGTCATTTGTAGCCTACTTTTTTTCGTGAAAATAAGACATTATGTGGGTTGAAGAGCACGGGGACATCATATTTACACTTTATTCAAACTTGATTAGTTTTATATATTTCTCAACCTTAAAAAACATCGTTACTTTCTCCAGGTAGGCAGTACATACGTGAGTGCACTGGCTGCAGGATGTGGCAAGTTTAAACTTTTAACTTCAGCAGTCTTCGAGGGAGGAAGTTTCTAATTATTTTGAAAACCACCCCGTACATCTCTTCAATGTTGTTGCTGTAAGTAATTCAACATACACTGACCTTCTATACATGTATAGACTTCTGAAACGAGCACCATAGACCTAATGCAATGCCGACCACCAAGACCATAAACTTGCGAAAGAACCAACATTTTGATCGTTACGTACATACATTTGAACATGAAGTTGTTTAGATTACATACAAATGCTTAAAACAGGCTGGCGCTTTAACTCTCAACCAGGGTTTTTGGTTACCCTTTAAATTTGAGAAATATCCTTGACTTCGAGGGTCAGCTTGAAACAAGAGGCCGGCTCATTTATTTTATCCCTGTCTCTCGTGGGTTAAAGATTGTACATGTAGAAACACAGGCACAGCTCTGTTTGAAGTAGCCTACATGTATTGAGAAGACAGACATTATCTGGATATACATGTAGTTTTAAATTTCACATCTGGTGAGCCAGCGTGACACGCAGAGAGTGTTTTAAGCCTAAGGCAGCAAACATGAAATAGTTCATAATGTTTAAATAATTGATACATTGTTTTTTGTTTTCCTTATTTTCTTGTCAGATTCGTGTCTTTGGAGAAGTGCCATATTGACAACCTTGCTGAACAAGGAATCCACTTACTTCTACATCTGGATAGTCTTCTATGAAAGGTTCCATTAAATGAATGTTACTCTAAAACATAGATTGGGCAATTAGCCAATGTGCATGGAGGTATTCAAAGAAAATCATGTTGAAATGTCAATATTTTAAAATGCAGGTTTTTTGCAAGTTCCCTGCATACAAATATATCTTCACCAACAAACGCTATTCAAGTATCCCTTTCAAGTGTTATTCTTTTTCATAGACTCTGTAGCTACAAAAAAACCAAAACAATTCCTTTGAGTTTTCTTTTGAAGATGTTCCATGGGAGAGAACGAAAATGAAGGATTTAGATAGAGGACAGATTTAAAAAGCATGTGATTCAGTAGATTAAAAGTTGTCGGATCTATTTTATTTGTTCGATGTGGAAGTCGCCTTCCTATACTATATTTCTCATCACGGACAGTGGAAAATACTAATGTTCAAATACTATTTGAAACCATACTTTTGCTTGAATGTACGTTACGTATAGCACTGTGTATTTTTCATGAATTGATCCAATACATGAATAGGTATTCTCTAGTGTGGGTAACATTGTGATATGGAGCCCCTTTAAAGGTGATGTATAAAACCGGTTAGTGGCTAGGTCGACGATAATAGCCCTTGCATTCCGGCTCTGGCTATATTATTGGTGACCAGACCCTTTATCTTCTAATTGCTCAGTAACAACGTTATTGTCTTGTTAAAAGGTCGGTTCATACTCTATGAAGTTACGGCAATTCACTTTGTGAAGTTACGGCAATCATTAACGCCAGCGCTAAAAAATTGGGGGAAAAAAGAGTGAACCACATTTTACTCTGGGCAATTTTGAGTCAAATGGTTTCGATGTCAACATATCAAAATTTGCTTTCACTTGAAGTATGAACCGATCGTTAGAGCTCAGCCCGGTCACTAAGGCGTGAATTCCTTATTGTGGATTTAAGTAAAAGACTTTAATTGTATACCATTCACGAAATGGACACTGTAGTAATATGTGCATATTGATCTGTCCAAATAATTGCAGTGAGTATTAATTACACTTACCGTTTTAGTGATTGCATTTTAGTAATGTTTTTTCATGCTGTTGTTTCTGAACACTGTTTGTAATAAAATTAGAGAAACATGAATTACATGTATGTTTAATTATTTTGTTATCGTTTTCAGAAACATTTCTCCATAAATGCCCAGTAGGTTGCAGTAAGGTGGCCACCATGTTGCAGCAACATGTCCATTAAGTTGTAGTAACGTGTCCGAAAAGTTGCAGCAACGTGCCTTTAAAGTTGCAGAAACGTCCCATTTAGCTGCAACAACGTGCCCACAAAGTTGCAGCAATGTCCTCATAAAGTTGCAGTAACGTCCCCATAAAGTTGCAGAAACGTGCCCATAAAGTTGCTTAAACGTGTCCAATACGTTGCTTTAACGTGTACAATAAGTTGCATCAACGTGTCCAGTAAGTTGCAGTGACGTCCCCAATTAGGTTGCAGTAACGTGCTAATCAAGTGGTAATCATGTCGCCAAAAGGTTGTAGAAACGTGCGTAGAAGTTGCTGTTATGTGTCAATTTGGTCGCAAATAACGTGGCGTCAAGGTGGTAATCATGTGCAATCACGACCAAAAAAAGTTGTGATGTATGTTGCTTTTACGTTGTGGAAACGTCATTGTAACGTTGCGTGATAACGTTGTAGCAACGCGCACGCGAGTCGACATTTTTACGTTGCCGCAACGTCATTTTCCTCACGTTGCGGCAACGAAAACCTGACCTTCTGGCAACGTTGTCACAACGTGAATGTGTTAGCTGGGGTAGTGCTGACTAAGATTGACACCATTGATGATAAAGTAAGTAGCAAGTTTATGTTCTGCATGGGCTTGACCTTGGTTTGATTCCTCTTTTGTTCCATGGTCACGTCAGTTCCACATGCATAGCGCGCACACACACAAAGGTTCTGTAATGTGTTAGTTCTGTATTCGTGAACTCCAATGATGCCGGTGACGTCACACAACATGGCGCTGTCCACATACAGAAAAAAAACATCGATGTTTCGTCCCAAATAATGTCAAAATTAGACACTTTAGAAATACCTTTTATTATCATAAATGACAGGCAATGACGGGATATGATGTTTTATTTAGGAAATAAATGAGAAAGGGTTATAATTTATATGCCAAGGTGTGTTTTAGGGGAATTTTCGCCAACATTTTTGCAATGCGGGATGAATTTATTCGCGTATCGAAGACTTTTAAAAGCCCTTCAGAAAAGCGAAACGCAGTTTTTCAGAAGAAATCTTTATGTTGATACCATTATTCAGTTATGAAAATAGCCAAATCATACTTTTTCTTGGTCGGGTCGACATTCTAAAATAAAATATAGACGTTGAAAGTCAGCCTACAATTCCAAAGCTTCGCTGAGAATTCGGGCTGCTGCATCGCTGGTTCATGATCTAGTATCCCACTAATACATGCAAACTGGCGCGCGGGTACCAACTGGCCTAGCGCCGGGTGTGTTGTGTACACAAAAGCGTCGTACAACGTGTACGTACACATGTACATGTGTACGTAAAACCATTGCATTTTACGGACAATCGCAAGACATTGAATAAAATTTAAAAATACATAAAATGCAAAACAGATTACATAGAAATAAAGAACCATCTGTCTTTAGATGAAAACACTCACTTTGGACAAAATAAACACACAATCGGAAATTCACAAATGTTTAGTGTTGTACAGTGAGTGAGTGAGTGAGTGTTGTACAGCATATTAAAGCAGCACAATCCTAAACCAAGCATGAATTTGCCATCAGTATGAGACACTCTATCCTCTTAATATTCTGGGGGAAGTTGCTGACAATTAATTGGATCTATAGCTTAAACAAAACAATAACAAATAGGTTTTTGTTTGGCAATAAACACATTCTTTATTTCACAACCAATCCATATCATGTAAAAAAAACAGTTTCATTTACAGAAGTGAAACTTCACAACAGCCATATTTTACAAGTAAATAAAGTGCACATGTAATGCAGGCATGAACTCAACCAGTGAAATCAGGTTTGGCAAGTGATAAAACTATGAAAAGTCTGAAAAATTAAATAGGGTAGTTGCAGTTGATTCAAGAAAGTGATTCAAAAATTCAACTTTATGAAAGGGCAAATGGATTTAAGCATACCCTCACACCTGAAGACAGTAAAGGCTTTTTTTTATATTTATTTATTATTAATATTTTGTTGGAGAATGGAGCTTGCAGTTCAACTGCACTATTTCATGAGTGGTGGTGATGGCAATTTCAGGTTTCAAATTTTCGCTTCATTAAAATTTCACATACGTACGTGTACACGTACCTGGATGACCTGCACCAGATTTACAAAGCACATCACTTCACAATTTGATGCAAACACAGTCCACTGTGAAGTTCTTTTCCAGTGTGAATGCATCATACATCGTCAATTTGGTTAAATATTTTAGAAAAGTTTTCACAAGTACAATCGACGACTCTTTGTTGACTTTTCGATGACTATTTACTGTTCTTTGAATAAATACATAACATGAAAATACATGTACATGTACATGTAGTCACCTTTTGTCCTTTGAATACACTACGACGTGTCGCACTTACAGCATATTTTGTGAAATGAATCACAGGATGCGTCATCCTAGGGATACAACGATGCATCGTAGGTTACAATAAGTGTCGTGAAATCAGGTACAGATTGTCACCGTTACTACGAACGACACTCTGGCATCCGTGTGTGCACTGTACGCGCGCGTGTTTACAGAACCGGGATATTTTGGGTTTTACGAACTGACATCCGCCACAGTGCGGCACTTTTAGAGCGCACCCCGTACATTTTTGTTTTCACGAACTGACACCCAAGCATGATGCGGCAATACATCTATCCGTGTACTTGTGCGATTATACATGTACAAATTTTTCATTTATAAGCAATTTAATTGGTAAAATTAAGATCAGTGTCAGTTCGTGAAACCGAAAATGCATGGGTGCACTCTAAAAGTGTCGCACTGTGGGGGATGTCAGTTATCTCCTAAATTCCCAAACTATCTCACTGGGCCGATGACCACCAGTGATTGTATGCTCTCTCATTGGTTGTATCTGTCAGTGCACAAACCATCGGCGCTGTTGTCTTATTGGCTCATTCTGGTTTGTACACGAACCATCGGTACCGATGGTTCGTGTACATTCAATTAAATGTCACTTCTATCGAGAGCGTCCGAGTAATGGCACAGACATACATGTAAACATGTACTTGTACATACATGTACATGTACATGATGTATGTACATGCACGTGTATTGCCATGATCAATTTCTAAGTAAAATAATATCAAGATGCTCACCGATGAAAGTTGTCAAATTTTCTGAAGGTATCCTTCGTCAGGGCAGGGTACGTCATCTGCGTGTCATGGTGGAATGCCGTACACTCCGCATAAGAAGAAATGTAGGCCAACCTCCTCCACAGCGTCCGAGAGACAACCAATAGGTCTAGATGGCAAATTAAAGTACACATTCAAGTTCTTGTACAGTTACGTGACTTTTGTGTTTTTACACAACAAGAACAAGAGCATGCATTACATGGGTTTGGAGTAAACTCGGTACCCAACAACCACAAGACTGTTAACGACTTGGTCCCTAACTGACGGGGTCTGACCGTCTGAGACAGCATGGCCAACTCAGTTCCAGGTCAACTTGGTCCCAGGTACAAATGTATAAAGTCGGTCCAATGTCAACTAAGTCTCAAGTCATTTTAGTCCCAGGTCAAAATTGAAATTAATGGAAAAAATACTCTACAATTATATGACTGAGGGCGAAAAAGAAAAGCCTAATGACGGCCCTGGCAATGTAACCTACATGTAGGGCCTACATGTCAAATCCTTTGTTTACGCATTTAGAACATACAGTACACAGTTTCCTTGAGAAGTTTTCAAGAACATTAATTAAATGAGCAATGTCAGGCTCCTGCCTACAAAGAATGACCTCCATTCCTCCATCATCATGTTCCTGCATGATGCATGCCAGCAAATCCTGACCACGCTGACTATACATGAAATGTCAAAATCATATTGAAATTGGAGGATTCAGGACTGTTAGGATTAAGGAATGCATTGTGATTATTTATTACGAATACGATTTTCTGGGTAATTGCAACTAGCAAGGCACACTGGGCAGAAATATTTCTTAGATGAAAGTCTTCTACATACACGAGTCGTTGCGTCGTCCAAAAGTGCGTGCTGTGGGATAGCTCAAGGCGCCTAGCTACGACTGTTTCATGTACGACATTACTGTAATGACTTCCTGTCATGGCGCGGCGTACGTACACAAAATCCTTGTGTCGCAGGCTAAAAACAAGGAGAAACTACAAAAACTACATCTTCTGAGCGGAGTAAATACATAATCTGTAGGCTTACCTTTGAGATTTCCATCTGAATCTCCGAAATCATGCCAAAAAATGGCCACGAAGGTCCCCACTCGTCACGCCATGACACTGCAAGTACACTTCGTACGTCGCGACTTGACGAATTCCTGTGTTATTCACCCTCAGTATTGGCTAAAATCTCACGAAAGCATGTCGACCCAAACCTTTCGTCCATATCAATGTGAACCTAGATAACCCATTTATTGATAGATTGACCAAGTATGCGTCACAAAACTGCATTTTACTTTAAAAATGATGATTTCTGGAAGTGGAAATGACGGCACGGAAACGCTTAATCGTACCAGGTCACAAGTCACACGCTGCATAAAAAACACACATTATCAGAATTTGTGCACGCTAGATGGCAACTGTCGACCGTACATAGCTTCATTGATGGTTTGTAGAGCCTTATTTGGTAATCTGTTGCATATTCATTTTAATAAACCAATCAATCTTTATATCTTTCGCGGGGTATTTAAATCCACCAACGAAACAAAGGGATCGCTGCGCGTACTGTTTATTTACATCGCGCTAGATTGTCACGTGGTATTACCACTAACTCCATCTCGCCAACAGAGGGCGTACTTTTTTATGCATGAAACTGCCGTGTTCTTGATGGATCCTGTTCATATGCATTGCAACCGTTAACTGACTTAAATTGTGTTCCAGATGAATTTTGTTGGTTCCGTTCTTCT